CAAGTGGGTTCTACGAGCTGGGAGTTGAGCCTCCCGGGGCTCTCTGCGTGTAGAGTTCAGAGTTTAAAGAAAACTGGTGGATCAGGGCTTCCGGGATGTCCCATCTGCAACTTGCTAAGTTTCAAGTGCGGCTTGCGTTGGAACAGCAAAGGATGCCAAGTTCGCTTGTGACGAGCGTGGGGACTGCCAGGGTATCGCGACACAGCGGGCCGTGGCTGGGACTGGTTGGTGTTCACCTGCTTTATTGTGAGATTTGTGAGATATTCTCCCTTACTAGTGGTTATTGCTGCTGGCACAGTCGGCACTGTGCAGATGTTGGGAGAAATTCCATGGCAAAGCAGCCGCAGCTTGACCATGGAAAATGTGCCGGGCTAGCTAGGGTTAACATGGTTTATTGGTGCCATGGGCTCGGAGCTCCGCAGCGTGCTGACATGCATTTCCGGCTGGAGCAGTCTGTATAGAAACGGTTTTGGAGCACGCTTCTGTGTGCAATGCGACTTCACTGAAATGCGCAAATACAGACGCGCACATGTGCGTGGGTGAGTGCGTGCGTGCGTGCGTGCGTGCGTGCGTGCGTGCGTGCGTGCGTGCGTGCGTGCGTGCGTGCGTGCGTGGGTGTGTGTGTGTGTGTGTGTGTGTGTGTGTGTGTGTGTGTGTGCCAACCCTGTTGCCAAGGGAGCCAGTGTGAAGAGCTGTTACCGTTAGAGCATGCAGGGGGATGTGGCGTGAGATCAGGGACCACATCCAATGAAGCTACCTGATCTCATGGGATGCAGAACTTGGCCAGTTCTGTGTACCTGCGATTTCTTCAGTCTCACGAATCATTTTAGCAAGTTGGGAACTTCAGGATTGTGAGGTGTAGACCAGGTAAACAGGACCCCAAGACTTGGTGTGGAGATTGCTCCAGGCAGTATTCGTCTATCGCACTGTCTGCAGCAGGGTTGCCTGCCTGATACTATGGTCTTGATTGACCATCCTGAGCTCCCTGATCGGAGCAACAGCCTGTCAGCATTTCCCCCCTCAACTGCTGCACCTTTGAGCGAGTGAAATTGACTGTGTCCACAGTCTGCTGATGTTCAAGCCAGATACCGAACAGGTCCTACGCCAGTTGTCGATCCATCCTGTTAGAGACTTCAGGGTTATCTCCACCCAAGTGATGTTGCGTGAGTGTTGGTCGGTGTACCATTGTTTACGCAGCGTGTTGAGAGTGATCAAGTTCCTGTAGTGCTGTAGTCTTCCGTGTCAGCAGCGCAGAGATGTGGAATGCAGAATCCTGCGGGTAGAGCCAGACGGTTGCAAGTGCAAGTTTCTTCGTGGCAGCGAGTGATTCTCACTGACTTGCAGCGTTGCGTGCAGCACATGCTCAGTCTGTTGCCAGCAGATTTTCGCAATTCTGACCAGCAGAGATTGTGGCAGCTGCACATGTTCTTGAACTTGAACTTGACTTTATGCTTGTGCTCAATGGCTGCAAGAGCTCCACTCTTCTGATTGAAGGGTGTGTGTGTGTGTGTGTGCCAACCCTGTTGCCAAAAGAAAAAGTGTGAAGAGCTGTTACCGTTAGAGCATGCAGGGCTGATCGGAGCAACAGCCTGTCAGCTTTTCCCCCCTCAACTGCTGCATTGCGCGCGGAAACGGGGACTGCGCACCGATAAACCCGCTAAACCCGCTAAACCCGCTAAACCCGCTAAACCCGCTAATCCCGTGGCGCACCGCTAAACCCGCTAAACCCGTGGCGCACCGCTAAACCCGCTAAACCCGCTAAACCCGTGGCGCACCGATAAACCCGATAAGCCCGCTAAGCCCGTGGCGCACCGCTGAACCCGCTAAACCCGTGGCGCACCGCTAAACCCGCTAAACCCGCTAAACCCGTGGCGCACCGCTAAACCCGCTAAACCCGCTAAACCCGTGGCGCACCGATAAACCCGCTAAACCCGCTAAACCCGTGGCGCGCCGCTAAACCCGCTAAACCCGCTAAACCCGTGGCGCACCGATAAACCCGCTAAACCCGCTAAACCCGTGGCGCACCGCTAAACCCGCTAAACCCGCTAAACCCGTGGCGCACCGATAAACCCGCTATACCCGCTAAACCCGTGGCGCACCGCTATACCCGCTAAACACGTGGCGCGCCGATAAACCCGCTAAACCCGCTAAACCTCTGGCGCACCGATAAACTAACCTGATAAACCCGATAAACCCGTGGGGCACCGATAAACCCGCTAAACCCGACAAACCCGTGGCGCACCGATAAACCCGCTAAACCCGACAAACCCTTGGCGCACCGATAAACCCGCTAAACCCGATGAACCCCGATATACCCGCTAAGCCCGACAGACCCGTGGCGCACCGACAAACGCGCTAAATAGATTCGCTTAACCCGATAAACCCGTGGCGCACTGCTGAACCCGCGCCAAGAAACCTGCTGTGCACCGACCGATAAACCCGATCCTCAACTACGTCCCTTGCTGACGGTCGCTGCCGCTGCTGACGCTCTTCGCTCTGCGTGTTGCCCAGCCAACGCCTAAGGATGAACAAGAAGCCACAGCCTCCTACGAATTCTCGAAGGTTCACATACCCAACCCACCGCCCTAAAAGAAAATAGGCCCGGGCCTTTTTCCGGAAACCCGGAAATGTAGGTTCGGACCCATTTTCTCGGGGGGGTCCCCCCTGCACCACACCTCTCCCAGCCCCGAAAAGGGGGGAATTATGCACTTGTTTTGCTTGTTGGTGCGTCGTCGCTTACTAGCTGCGGTTGTTTTGCTTCTTGGTGCGTCTTCGCTTGCTATCTGCGGTTGTTTGGCTTATGGGTACTACGTGCGGTTGTTTTGCTTCTTGGTGTGTCTTCGCTTGCTATCTGCGGTTGTTTGGCTTATGGGTGCGTCTGCGATTACTACGTGCGGTTGTTTTGCTTATTGGTGCGTCTTCGCTTACTACGTGCGCTTGTTTTGCTTATTGGTGCGTCTTTGCTTACTCCGTGCGGTTGATTTGCTTATTGTTGCATGGGTCTTCGCTTACTACGTGAGGTTGTTTTACTTATCGGTGCGTCTGCGCTCTACATGCGCTTGTTTTGCTTATATTGGTGCCTCTTCGCTTACTATGTGCATTTGCTTTGCTTCTTGCTGCGTCTTCACTCTATGTGCGCTTGTTTTGCTTATTGGTGCGTCTTCGCTTACTACGTGCGCTTGTTTTGCTTATTGGTGCGTCTTCGCTTACTCCGTGCGGTTGATTTGCTTATTGTTGCATGGGTCTTCGCTTACTACGTGAGATTGTTTTACTTGTCGGTGCGTCCGCGCTCTATATGCGCTTGTTTTGCTTATATTGGTGCTTCTTCGCTTACTATGTGCATTTGCTTTGCTTCTGCTGCGTCTTCACTCTATGTGCGCTTGTTTTGCTTATTGGTGCGTCTTCGCTTACTATCTGCGGTTGTTCTGCTTGTTGGTGCTTCTTCGACAGTACATCATTCCCAGAGCTTCCATTCTTGCTTAATTAATTTAACGATGAATTTTAAGGAAAATTCTTGCTTAATTAGAAAAGAATTTTAAAAAAGAATTTCCAAAAACCATGTCCGAAATTATGGATTAAATTTGGGGCCCCACCCCCATATGTGCGCATATACACACACACACACCACAACACACAACACCACAACACACAACTCACAACACACAACACACAACACATGCACAACACACAACACACAACACACAACACACAACACACAACACACAACACACAACACACAACACACAACACACAACACACAACACACAACACACAACACACACAACACACACACACACACACAAAACAACACACAACACACAACACACAACACACAACACACACAACACACACAACACACACAACACACAACACGTGCACAAGACACAACACACAACACACAACACACAGTTAACACACAACACACAACACACAACACACAGCACCTAGCACACAACACATGCATGCACTGAAACACACAACACGCGCATGCACTTAACACACATATCACACTTAACACACTTAACACACAACACGTGCACTTCATGCACACACAACACACCTAGCACACTTAAATTTGCACACAACACAACTTGCACACAGCACATGCACCCTGCGAATCTTACCTGATGCTGGGCCCTTTTCCTTCGAAGGGGCCATGTATCGATCTCTATAGAGCTGGACTTCTGCCAGCCTTACCCAATGCATTTGCACCAGAACCTTTCTGGCCAAACCAAATCGTAGGCTCTGAAATCGTTCTCGCTCAGAAAGCCCTTGATGTGGAAGCAAACACAATGAAGGCACATGCTTCCTCCCTCGAGCAACTCGACTCGGGCACGTGTAACCTCGAATCTTTCGCCCCACAGCTTCGAGAGCTCCAAGATCAACTTTTCCATCTCCTTCTTCTTTTCGGGGCTCCGATCCATGGTATGAGGTGATCTAAAACAAAAATAAATATTCTATGATTCGAGCCAAAACTCTGTCAGGCACTCTGAGGAACACATGAGAAGAAATTATAAGCTCGATCGCAAATGCTGCTGCAGCCCCATGGATCATGCTGAATCTTGCAGGTGCAGTGGTTTTTTTTGTCCTCTGGCTGCATGCAAGCAATTATCCGAGAAGTCGTCTGCCCAGGGCAGAAAGATGACCGAATTAACTGTCGATCCTAGGGCACGGCTCGCGGGCTCATGCGACTAGTCACTCCTCCTTTTGAACCACTGCCACCGCCAGGTTCCATGAGAATTCACCCAGCACCAGGCCCACCGAAAGTGGCTTAGCTGGGCACCTTGCTCTGCATTAAGTTCAGTCTCGCCACCCCCGGCGGTGGATCGAACTTCATCACGGGAGCCAACTCGTCGCTTCTTTGAAGGGGACTCGTCCATGATGGTGCTGAGTCAGGTGATCGAGGGAGAGGGGGCCGGACTCAGCAAAAAAAAACGCAAGCCACAATGCTCGACCATGCACAAAGATCGTATATATATATATATAGTTATTTATTTTGCTCATGCACCCTTGCACAAGCAACATGCAAAATGCTCGCAAAAGGGTGCTGTTGATTTTTCTCGCAAGGCCAGGTCTGCCAGCGAAGGTACCTTGTTCTGTGCAGCAAACTTTGTGAGCACTGTCTTCGACAAGCCCAAAGCCACATGCTTGCCTCCTCTTCGCACAGACATCCTCCCCAGGCTCCCGCCCCAGTCCTCATCATCATACGTCCAATACAGACTCGGAGCAGACTGGGTGCTTTCACACATGTGTTGCCACAAATGAAATTTGGGTTTGTATCTCCAGCGATGCTCAAGTAAACAAAGGTCTTCCAGTGCAGTGTACAATAGCAAAAAACTCTTGCAACTGTCTGCCAAAACCTTGGGGTCGAAGTTTTCGGTCGATAACTGGGAGTAGCAGATCTGGATCTGCTTGGCTGCTAGCCGGCAGGTGCCCTCCTCCGAGGAGGGTGGATAACCAGAAAAAAGTCGCTCAGTGATGTCCACAGACCAGGGAATCAGGTATCTGATCTCGGCAGCTTTGCCTCTAAGTTTGGGGCTCTTCCTGGCTTCCTTTCGGATCATGAGCTTGGTTATGGTGTTAAACTGGTTGGGCGTCTGGTTCTCGGTGTACCACTGCTTGATATCTCGCCAGAGGCTGGCCACTCGCTGCTCCTCCGAGGAGCCTGGCATGTGTTTCGAAACGAGAAAACAGCAATTGCCCAGAAAATCGGCTGCGACCCCCAAGTCGCACGAGTGGAGCCAGTCCACCTCGAAGGTGGCCAAACTTATGCCTGGGGCAGCCATGATGGGACTCACTGCACCAGACTTGTCCAGCATGTGCTCTTGGAGTTCCAAAAAGGACCAAGGGTGATCTCTCCAGGGTGCTGAAGACGAGCATGACCGGATTTCCTGCAGCGAACATTTGCATTTGAAACAACATCTTCCTGCAGCATTCCAGCTTGGGAACTTAAACACCTGCTTGTACATCGCCCAGTCCCCACGGACCTCTGCAAGGATCCCCTGTGCCAGCAAAGGCCTCCCAGCCATCTTCCGGCGCCACGATGACTTAAAAGGTTGCCCCTGGAAATCCACCTCTGGAAAGATTCCTTCTCGCATGCAATGAAAACTGTGAGCAAAAATAGCCATCAAATCGTCCACAGTCCTGCCATCCTTGCAGCAAAAACTCTTGTAGATGCATGTCAGGGGCAGTCTGAAGTTTGCACAAATGTCTCGTTGATCAAAGGGTTGAGGCTGAAGCACTCCAAACTCTCACTCCGGTCATATCTGACAGGAACACCGTCACACCAAAGCCCCCAGGCCACCAAAGCCTCTGGATCGAGAGTTAAGGCCTCCACTGAGGAGGCAACCCTCTCACGAACATCCCGCCTCAAACTCTGCCAATCCAGCAATCGCTGTCGGGCCTCGGGGCTTCCGTTCCATCTCAGCAAGCACCAGTGGATCTCATGAGGGAGATAAACTGCAATGGGTTTTTTGCAGACATTGTGAGTGTGGGGGTCGTACATTGTTATGTCTGCAATATAGGGTTTCGGCCAGGCAGAACCTCGTACCAGCTTCCTGAGAAGGTTGCGATGGATGTTTTTGTCCTCCGAGACAACCAGGTCGTTAACATGCCTGGCCTGGGCATCTGCAGCATCCTGGAAGATGCCCCTAGCCCTGGCAGCTGATATCGAGCCCCTGAGGAAGAGATCTGAGATGTTGGACCTGAGGTTCCTCTCTCCCCGTCGCTTCTTGGAAGCAGCTCTGGCTGATTTGGACAACATCCATTGCTAGCTATCTCGACTGCAAAAGGATTTTAAAGTAGCAGTCCAATCTAATGCATGTACTGGATCGCAGTGGCAGGCAGGCAATATAACATGCAGTCGGCGATATGTCATGCATGCAGTAACATGCAGCTGCAAGGGCCTCGATCCTTTTAATTTGCTGTCGCTTATGGTCGATCTACATGGGCCCCGTGCTGCATGAGTCAAAACTGAAGCCGGCCCAAAACAAACGGTGCTTGGAGATCTATACCTACAGGCAAACATTCAGGCGAGCACGAAAGGCCTTCAGCCCATCGCAGTGAACCTGAGCCTTGGCACAGGTGGCCTTCATATCCTCCGTGTGCTCTAGCCACTGCTCAGCGGTGGCATCGGGGTTCTTCTCCAGGCTGGCCAGCACAGACAGCTGCTTCCGGGCCTTCTGCTCCACGAACTCCTGGGCCTGCATCTGATGCTTCTCCCCCTCCTTCAAGAGGCCCTCCATCTCGGGCTTGTTGAGGGTCTTGCCCAGGCACAGTGCATCCTTCAGCTGGCCAATTTCCTTTTCCATCTTCTCCTTGCCCGACTTCAGGACCCTGCCCTGGTTCTTGCCATCAATCCTCTCGGGGAATTCGATCTTCACATCGCAGGATCCCGTGGCCTTGTCCAGCACTGCCTTAAGGCCAGACTGCTTCAGGGAAGCATGCTGTTCAAGCTTGCTGCTTTTCACTGTGGCATTTGTGTCCCGTTGCTGTGTCTTCACATAGTAGTACATTGTAAGCTCAGGGACATCAGCATCTTTCTGGATCAATTCACAAGGATCCTTCGCTGCAGCATCAGCCAAGCCGTTGGCTTCCCAGCACTTCTTGAGAAGGGCCTGCAGCACGGGCTCTGCTCGCTTTTCTGGTAGATTTCCATTCACCACGAAGCCATTGAGCCCGAGGATCTCATCTCTGGTCATGAAACCTTTCTTGTTTTCGCAGAGCTCCTGCTCCTGCTGCTCGCTGCTCTCGAGGTACGAGGCGACCCAGGCGAGGTTCTTGATGCCACCTTCGTCCATGTAGCGCACAATGAGCTTGTGCTTGCCGTCAGAATCCTGGCTGTGATAGGCCTCACCAGGACTGTTATTACTATGCATGGGTTATTAAAAGTCGATCAATTTTAATCTAAATAAATAAATAAATATAAATAAATATATATATATATATATATTAATTTCGATCTATATTAATCATTATGTATATTAATAATATATATTATATATATATATATATATATATAGATGTATACGTACTAGTATATCGATCTATATATATACATGCATATATACTTAAGTTTATAATAGATCATACTATATATAGTATCGATCGATATATATCGATATATATATATATATATCGATTTATATTATATATATAAATACATGCATGCATATAATTCTTATATATATATATATAGATATAGATATATATATACGACATATATATTTGTATTATTCTATATAATCATGTATATATATATATGTACATCCATATCTTTTCATTCATAATATATATATATATATATACACAATTTAAGTGTGTATATATATATACAAAAGTATCTATATATATATGTATTATAAATATTATATATGTTATTATATATATATAATAATAATATATATGCAGATAGTATATATGTGTATATTAATTATACATACACACATGTATATACATCGATCGTGCAACACCACTGGGCCTCCAAGAGCTGCTGGGCACTGCTGGTCTGGGGATCCTTGGGGTTGTTGGCCTTGTACTTGATGCCAGTCAGGAAACCACTGATCTGGCCCTTGTTCACTGATGCCGAAGTGTTCCTTGCCTTTTTCGGGCTCTTCAGCTGCTGCTTGACTGGCTTCTTGGCTGCCGGCTTCGTCTTGGCTGCCGTTGCTTTCGCCATGGCTGCCAGCCAGCTACACGGGCGAAAGAACCAAAATGGGACGTTTTTGGTTTGAAGCGAAATGCTAGCGGGGCAGTTGAGTGGTGCACCAGGGCCCCCAGGGTTAAAAAAGGTTAAAAACCTTAACCTTTTTTAACCTTGTTTTAAAAGGCAACATACTCGACAGGAGCGGTTAAAAAAGGTTAAGGTTTTTAACCTTTTTTAACCCCACTTCCCCGGGCCAGGGCTCCCAACACATCAAAATTCATGAGTTATATACCTATAGGGTTCAGGGACCTGTTTAGGGTTTGGGCTTGAAGGGTTTCGGCTTTAGGGTTTAGGTTTTTGGGAACCCTAAACCCTAACCCTGAGCCCTAAACCCTGAGCCCTAAACCCTAAACCTTAAACCCTAAACCCTAAAGCCTATGTATATATATATATAAGTATATATATATATATATGTATATGGTGTCCTCCTCCGAGGAGGACAAGATTAAGTATTATATATATATATATTATATCATATATATATTATATATATATCTATATACATATATATATATATACATATATCTATATATATATATATATATATTTTTTTTTATTTATATATATATGGTGTCCTCCTCCGAGGAGGACACGAAAAAAATATATATATATAGATCTGAAACATGCATATATCTAAGTTAACGGTGTCCTCCACCAAGGAGGACACGGCCCCGAAACCTGAACTATATATAGATCAGCACAGTGTCCTTCGGCACCATCCTCTTAGGGTTTAGGGTTTAGGGTTTAGGGTTAACGGTTTAGGGTTTAGGGTTTGGGGTTTGGGGTTTGGGGTTTTGAGGTTTAGGGTTTAGGGTTTAGGGTTTAGGGTTTAGGGTTTAGGGTTTAGGGTTCCGGGTTAACCTTAATAGTTTATAATATTATATATATATATATAATGTATATATATTATTATATATATATATGTATATATATGTATATATATGTATATATATGTATATATATGTATTATATATACATAAATACATATATACATATAAATAAATATATAAATATAAATGTATATATATATATATAAGTATATATATATATATATGTATGGTGTCCTCCTCCGAGGAGGACACCATATGTATACATATATATATGTTAAGCTAGTATTATATATTATATATATATATATATATTATATATATATATCTATATACATATATATATATATATATTTAATTAAAATTATATATGGTGTCCTCCTCCGAGGAGGACACGAAAAATATATATATATATATATATATATAGATATAGATATATAGATCTGAAACATGCATATGTCTAAGTTAACGGTGTCCTCCACCAAGGAGGACACGGCCCCGAAACCTGAACTATATATATATAGATCAGCACAGTGTCCTTCGGCACCATCCTCTTCTCAGCAAGTCCTCCTCCGAGGAGGACACAATGTGTGACCTCAAATTGCTGGCATTGGATCGATTTCTACAAACATGACAGGCATATTGATATCGATGCAGCCAGGATCGCAGTCTACACTATAATTAAGGTGTTGTGTGCTGCACGTCATATGCACTTATCTCGTTCAGACACAGCTAGTGTTTCTCGATCTGAGCTCCAGGCAGCACGTGCTGGCTCCGGCTGGGCAGAACCTGCAAGGCACAGTGCATGCATGCATGCCGGAGAACACAGGCTTGCACAGGGCGACACCGAAAGCCCAGCATGCACGGACCCTGTCGATCTTTTTGCATGCAGCCATATGCATGGAAGAGCACCATGGATCCCGGGCGAGCCACACGATCGAGCTGTGAAGTGGCTAAAATGCTGGGGTCGATCTATATATACACGGGCCGAGCAGCAAGGGGTCGGTCGAAATGCTTATGCATAAAAGCTCAGAAACTATATATAGGAATCAACTTCTGTCTTTGTACACATATATATATATATATGTATATCTCTCGATTAATTCTATATATCTATAGATCGATCTACATGCACTCAAAAACCATACAGATTTACCATGCCGACCCCTGTGCTTCGGCTTCGAGGCGCCTGTCCCTGTCGGCTGCATTCGGACCTTCTGACCCCACCCAGCGACCTGTCGACTTCAGCTCTGCAATCTTCTGTTGCAGCCACAAGACCCTCGCTCGGCCTTTGTTCTTCTTGCGACTCTTGCGAGTGATCTTGCACGACACCTCCTGGATCTCGTCGTCGTCGACCACATGATCACCGGCCTTGTCCCCCTGGGCATCGGTCGAGATCTCCTTCTCGAGATCCTTCTGGGCCTCCTCCTCGACCACCGGGGCCTCCTTCTCATTCTCGCCCTCCTTCTCGCCCTCCTTGTCGCCCTCCCGGGGCCTTGTCCGGGGCAGGGCCAGCGCCCAGGTCCTCGGTGACTTGCTCTGCAGCAGGCACCTCGAGGATCAACTGCTCTAACTTAGGGCTGGTGTATAGGGTTTAGGGTCGATCCTATAAAAAAAACTTAAGCGATATAATATAGGGTTTAAAGTTATATAACTGGGTTTGGATTTAGGGTTCCCTTTCTTTATGCATTCGATCCCATGGCAGGCCTCCTTGCCGGTACCGCTGTCCGAGATCGGCACCACACTTGCCTCGCTTGCTCGAGATCGGGGCCGCTTCTTGGGCCAAGCAACCAGAAGGGACTCGGATGCCCTCTTGGTCTTGACCGGCCCTGCCACCCCGGCCGCCTCGTCGGAGTCGCTCGCCTCCTCCTCAGAGGAGGAGGACTCGAGCTCTTGCTTGATTTTTGTGATCTCTTTCTCCAGGAGCTTCTCCTGGACGACCGCGGCTGTGGTGCTCTTGGTCCAGTCGGACCAGCTCCAGTCTCGCTTGGGGCGATCGCCGCCCTGCTTGCCCCTGTGCCAGGGGCCTTCTTTGGGCCTCTCCAACCGCATATAATAATGCGAACAACAGGTATTGACGCAGCCTGTTTTGCGAATGTATGTGTCGTAATGGCAGTAGTTGCATTCACGAAGGTCTGTAATGCAAGGTCTGGAGGATCCCCATGCCAATTCGGAGATGTTTGCCATGACACCACCATATAGGATATCGCTCGATCTCGAGCACGAAAAGAGCTGCGATATCTTTAAGCTGGCTGTGCATGCCAAGTGCTGCAAGGCTTCGCATCTATAGCGGGCACTGCATGCAAGCACATGCTCTGCAGACCTGACGATCTATGCATGCATGCAGGATCGACTTGTGCATTGCTGCCTCCTGCAAGGAGGCCCTCCTTCCCAGGAGGCTGCAGCATGCACGGACCGCTCGCCTGCCGTGCATGCACGCAGAGAATCGCAATTTATAAGGCCCGGGCTGCAGCAAAAGGTCGACTTTCTGGAAACTCTCGATCGTACTCTCTAATAGCAAACAAGTAAGATCGATGCATGCAACGGCCTCCATTCCATGGCTGCACATGCACTGTCGGCATGCAGGGTGCATATAGGGTGTCGACCTGCAGGGTTGCTGTTCAAAAGGGTTTAGGCCGGGCTTCGGGCCCGGTTTAGGCGCTAGGATTAAAATTTGGGGTATATGGTTTAGGGCCAGGGCTAATTTAAGTTTAGGGTTTAGGGTTTAGGGTTTAGGGTTTAGGGTTTAGGGGAAAATATTTATACAGCATATATATATATATATATATGTTTGGGTCGTTAGATACACATGCCTCGATCCATGCAACCATGTTTGAGCAATGCACTCATGTCATGCAGCACAGCATGCATACAAGGTTGCTGCATGTAGTGTTCTGCAGAAAAAACTCAAATGCAATTCGCCCGTGACAACAAACTTGTTTCGCACGATAGCATGATGTGCACACGTGAAAATCAAAGTTTTTCAATTTGAGTGAAACTCGAACACAGGCTATACAATTTACCGGCGATGCACCTCGATCTGGCACCATGCACGAACAAGATTCTATATACCAAAATTCATCCTGCAGACAAAGCTTTCTGAAGAGCAGCCTTGCAGTCTGCCTCCAACAGCTTCTGCTCCATCAGCTGCTTGCAAATCGGCTCAGCCTTCTTGTAGCTCGTGTCTTTGTCGAAAGATGACTTGGCCACACACAGCTGTCGTCTCAGGATGTCCTTCCGGCCTCGCCAATACTTGCAGATGGCAATCTCGTTCTTCGGAGCCTTGTAGTACATGGCAGCATAGCGATGCACTTTGCCCGACCCTTGCTCCGGCTCCGGCACCTCCTGCTCCGGCACCTGCTGCTCGCGATCCTGTTGCACGAGCTCACCCCCTGGATGTGCTTCCGCTTGCTGCTGCTCATCTGCATCGTCACGATGGTTGTCCTCGTCCTCCTCCTCTATAGGAGGCGGCAAGCTGACAGGAGCTTCGAAGGCTGCTTAGCAGCAGCAGCCTTGCTGGCAGCCTTCTTAGCTGCAGCGGGCTTCCTCAGGACAGGTTCACCCTGCCTCTTAAGTTTCCCCTCCATGGATTTCTTCCAGAGGAGAATAGGCACTTCTGTCTTCTCGGGCTTGTTCGTCCCATAAGCTGCATACATGAAACCGTCGGTGCCTTCTGTCATGTCGGCTTCGTAGAGCCTACCTTTTTCGGTCCTCACCATGCAAGCCCTGTTCGCATCGTAGGCCCCGAGGCTCGGCTTGCCTGAAAGCTTTCGAGGCTGAGGGGCAGAAGCTTTCGCCTTGCTCTTGGCACTGCTGCTGGGCACCTCCTCCGAGGAGGAAATCTCCATTGCAGCTGGTGCATTTGGCGATTCGTCATCTGAAACACCAACTGGCGGGACAAGAGCATTTGCCTTGGCCGGCACTGCTGGCAAGCCATAGGAGGCTGCCAAGGCACCGAGCTCGCTCTCAAGACAAGCACCTCCAGAGGAGCTGGCTGTTGATCCAGTGGACAGGCGGGAGCCAGAGCCTGAGGCACTCTCCTTTTGCTTCTTCAAAAACGTCCCTTGCTCAAGAGACCTCCTGGGCCCGGCCAGCACCATGACCAACCTTCTCAAAGCATCCGGCTTGAGCTTCTTACCACTCAGTACCTGGCCCTTTTTGTCCCACACCAACTTGCAAGCACTTGCCACCACTTGACTGAACGAGACGGCCACTGCTTGATCCAGGCCTTGAAAGCATGCATTGCAACCTTCCTGAACCAATCCAGCAGTGACTCTCGGTGTGGCCAGCAAAAGTTCCTTGATGAGAAACTCATGGACTTCCAAAAACTGAAGCCCTGTGCTGGGGAACTCCCCTGCTTTGGGTCCCTCAATACCAAAAGCTGCCTGTAGCAACGGGGCTATGTCTTTGCCACTGGCCGTGTTCTTTCTTCGGTCCCCCGACATTATTTTAGGCGGAGCGACGAGATCAAACCGATCAAGAGCCCAAAGCTGTAGCCCATCGTGGCACATGCATCGTCGATCACACAAAATTTATGTGAAAAAAATTACTGCTTAACACTAAATAGATGGTAATTTTCTGGTTGTTTTTGTCTTTGCTAAATTTAAGATGTAATCCTTATTTAGCAAGAAAAACCTCTTAATTAAGGAGTAAAACCTTCTAAATAGTCAATAATGCGTTTATTCTTCCTTATTTAAAAAATTCTTGTCTAATTAGCTTAGAAAAACGTCTATTTAAGGCAGACAAAAAAATTTAAGCAAGACAACCTTATTTAAGCAAGAATGGAAGCTCTGGGTTCGTTGCGTTTCAACACTTCACACATGCCGCTGTCGAAGAGTACTGATCTCACAGTCGCGCCCCAGTCAGCAAAACAATCTGAGAATGGATGCATCTGTTTCCTTGCGCGACACTTGCCTGGAGTCATCCTTACCATTGGCGCCCTGGATGAAAAACAAGCACTCAAGTTCGAATAGAGTGTTGGCAGCTGCTGCCCGGTGTTTCTGGGAGGAAGAATGGCCGTCAGCGCCCTCATAAGCAAAACAGCTGTCAGCGCTCCCCAATAATTAGGCGCAGATGAAAACCTCCCGAACCCTGAACACACTTTGCGCATGTCGTCAAGCCCTAAACCTATGTTAACCCTAAACCCTATAATCCCCACACCTCAAACGCTAAGGAGCAAAGCAATTCTTTGCCCTCAGACGTCAGATGCTCTGCCTCTGAGCTAATCTCCTCCCAAACCGAAAATGTTCACGTTGTACCGAAGTGCTTCATGCCGATCTGTGGAAGACTGCAGCGACGACAGCCAGGTGGCGTCAGCCATGCCAACTGAGTGGAGACCCCCCGCCCCCCCCGAAAAAGACAAAAACTAGCCGATGCCCACCCTTCACAGGTGGTCTTCCTTGTCCCTGATGCTCCATGTAGTTACCGAAAACCCACGCGTCCTCAGACCCGATAAGCCCGCCGCCGAGAAACCGAACACCCATGCCCGATATCCCCCAAACCCAACAATTTAAGCATGCTGCGAATTGACGACCCCATGTCGGTTTAACCCGAAAAGTGTCCTGCCGTGAATATATGTAATCATCTGAGCCTTATATAATCAGCGCGTTCGGCGCAAATCGGCGCATTCAGCGCAAGTCGGCGCAATGCAGCGCAATTCGGCGCAATGCAGCGCAATCCGGCGCAATGCAGCGCAATCCGGCGCATGCAGCGCAGTGAGCGCAATGCAGCGCAATTCGGCGCAATGTGCAGCGCAGTGCAGCGCATCCGGCGTGATTCAGCGCAATTCGGCGCCATGCAGCGCAGTGCAGCGCATCCGGCGTAATTCGGCGCAATTCGGCGCATTCAGCGCAATTCGGCGCAATGCAGCGCAGTGCAGCGCATCCGGCGTAATTCGGCGCAAGTCGGCGCATTCAGCGCAATTCGGCGCAATGCAGCGCGGTGCAGCACATCCGGCGTAATTGGGCGCAATTCGGCGCATTCAGCGCAATTCGGCGCAATGCAGCGCGGTGCAGCACATCCGGCGTATTTCAGCGCAATGCGGCGCAAAGCGGCGCAGAGCGGCGCAATTCGGCGCAGAGGACTCGACCTCGAATCCAGTCCCGGAGCCCGCACCCACTGAACTGCTGCACCTTTGAGCGAGTGAAATTGACTGTGTCCACAGTCTGCTGATGTTCAAACCAGATACCGAACAGGTCCTACGCCAGTTGTCGATCCATCCTGTTAGAGACTTCAGCCAGGATTATCTCCACCCAAGTGATGTTGCGTGAGTGTTGGTCGGTGTACCATTGTTTACGCAGCCTGTTGAGAGTGATCAAGTTCCTGTAGTGCTGTAGTCTTCCGTGTTAGCAGCGCAGAGATGTGGAATGCAGAATTATGCGGGTAGAGCCAGATGGTTGCAAGTGCAAGTTTCTTCGTGGCAGCGAGTGATTCTCACTGACTTGCAGCGTTGCGCGCAGCAGATTTCGCAATTCTGACCAGCAGAGATTGTGGCAGCTGCACATGTTCTTGAACTTGAACTTGACTTTATGCTTGTGTGCTCAATGGCTGCAAGAGCTCCGCTCTTCTGATTGAAGGGTGTGTGTGTGTGTGCCAACCCTGTTGCCAAGGGAGCCAGTGTGAAGAGCTGTTACCGTTAGAGCATGCAGGGCTGATCGGAGCAACAGCCTGTCAGCTTTTCCCCCCTCAACTGCTGCACATTTGAGCGAGTGAAATTGACTGTGTCCACAGTCTGCTGATGTTCAAACCAGATACCGAACAGGTCCTACGCCAGTTGTCGATCCATCCTGTTAGAGACTTCAGGGTTATCTCCACCCAAGTGATGTTGCGTGAGTGTTGGTCGGTGTACCATTGTTTACGCAGCGTGTTGAGAGTGATCAAGTTCCTGTAGTGCTGTAGTCTTCCGTGTTAGCAGCGCAGAGATGTGGAATGCAGAATCCTGCGGGTAGAGCCAGATGGTTGCAAGTGCAAGTGAGATTGTGGCAGCTGCACATGTTCTTGATCTTGAACTTGACTTTATGCTTGTGCTCAATGGCTGCAAGAGCTCCACTCTTCTGATTGAAGGGTGTGTGTGTGTGTGTGCCAACCCTGTTGCCAAGGGAGCCAGTGTGAAGAGCTGTTACCGTTAGAGCATGCAGGGGGATGTGGCGTGAGATCAGGGACCACATCCAATGAAGCTACCTGATCTCATGGGATGCAGAACTTGGCCAGTTCTGTGTACCTGCGATTTCTTCAGTCTCACGAATCATTTTAGCAAGTTGGGAACTTCAGGATTGTGAGGTGTAGACCAGGTAAACAGGACCCCAAGACTTGGTGTGGAGATTGCACAAGTGTGTGTGTGTGTGTGTGTGTGTGTGTGTGTGTGTGTGTGTGTGTGTGTGTGTGCGTGCGTGCGTGCGTGCGTGCGTGCGTGCGTGCGTGCGTGTGTGCGTGTGTGCGTGCGTGCGTGCGTGCGTGCGTGCGTGCGTGCGTGCGTGCGTGGGTGGGTGTGTGTGTGTGTAATAACAAAAGCAGATGTATGTTTGTATGCACTGGGAACGGTATGTATGTCTGTATGTCTGCCTGTATGTATGTATGTATGGTACCTCTACGTCCTCCCTGTATGCCCGTTTCTTTGTACCTTTCAGGTGCATCGTCTGCCTCTTTTGCGGACATGCCCAGACCTTTGATTTTGGCACCTTTGGTTCCTCAACACATTGGGAGAGCACAGCATCTCCGACCTTCCAGGTGCACAAAGCACTGCACACATCGAACCTCAAACTCAAGCCTTGGGGCCAGCACTTCGTTGGCAGCAAAGTTTGTTTCCGTGCATCCTCCCCGAGGGGCTTCCGAGGGAAAAATTGCCCATGCCGGGGAATTTTTCTGCTTTTCTCCACCCTCGGCGTGGGTTGTTAGGTTTTGAGTCAACCAGGCTCCTCGCCTCCTCCCCGTTGTCCCTTCCGGTCTCCTTCCCTGGGCAGAGTTCCGTCTCAGAAGCCTGCGGCCGTACTTGCTTTTGAACATCAGGTAGCTGTAGCGTGGGGATGATCGAAATGAGTCTGTTTGTGTGTGCCACCTGTTTTACATACAGGCATGGGATCACATCCGACCAAGCGCTGTTGGTACCTTCGTGCTTCTTTCGCAGATTTTGCAGAGCATCATGCTATATCATGCTGCAGAGCAGGGGACCACCTCACAAGCATGGTCATCCAAATGGTGTTGGAAAGTTGGAAAGGCGGGGCCTTGGCATGCCTCGAGATACCTCGAGTCATGGAGAATCACTCCGGAGCAAGCGTCTTCGAGTCAGCACTGACGATGCTGATTGCGACAATCACTGGTCTTGATCGGGTTGCATTGGGGTAGGTGGTGGGTACCCACCGCACTTCACTTGCGCTTGTGTGCAGCTTGGACAGCGTGAAGCTGTAGCAACTGTTGAACTGTTGTGCTGGGGCTTCTTTCGCCTTTTCCATCTAAACACGTTTCTCGACATTATTTGACATTGGTTTGTTCCGGGTTCGCACGTTCGGGCCTGGTCCCGTCAAGTTCATTGCGTTGGCATGTGTCAAGTTAACGTGTGTACTTGTGATTGCTTGCTTGCGTGCGTGCGTACGTGCGTGGGTGTGTGTGTGTGTGTGTGACACTGTCAGTGTGCGCGTGGTTGTTGGAATTCTTTTAGTTTTCTTTGTTTTTGTTGCCTATACAGCCCAAACCCATGCCGAGTTGGTCGGTCCGAATATACCCCAACACTACGTGCGCAATCAACCATCCGAAAAGTTGTTCTTGTTGAAGTTTTGGGTTGTCTAGGTTTTTTAGGTTTTGCAAAGTGAAGCAAACCTACCCTTGCAACCGCGTTGAGTCCTGGCAGGTGTGCAATGGCGACTTGATTGCAGATTCAAGAAGCCTTCTTCCTTCTTGGATTTGTGTGATTGCATGCGCTTATATTGTGGTGTCAGAAGCTCTGTAGGCACCAAAAAGCATTCATTGAGTAGCAATAAATCAAAAGGCAAAGCCTGAGGCTTGATACAGTAAGCCTGCCACAGAGACGTGAGAGTGGAATTTTGGATGAGAGCATCCGCAGTGCGCGTGAGGCACTTGGACCATGCAGCTGGGGAGTTCGGCGGCGACGGTCGAAGTCGTGGAAGGCTACGAGCCACCCGGTGCCATTAGCTTCAAGCAGCTCGCAATGCAACTCCTTACAGTCCTGACACTACATGGACAAACTGCAGCGAACGACCTCGGCCGAGGCTAAATGTATTTGCAGGATAAAGAGGAGAGAGAGCTGCAGATCTGCAGTGGCCCAATGCGGCCCATCCCCTGGACAAGGTAAAAGCGGTCCCGTGTGAAATCATGCGACTTTCCCTGACCGTTTCAGTTTCAAAAGTTCATTCCCATGTGACACCAAGGACATGGAAGATGGAGGCTCTAGTGCTCAACCGACAATGCCTCCTGGACATCCGCAGTGCAAATGCCTCCAAGTACGTCATTTCGTTGGAGAATAAGTCACTGGGCGCTGTGTTAAGGGAAGGTTTGTCTTGCTTTTTCTGCTGAGCCGTGACTTGGGCCAAAAGATCTCTGGGGCTCTTGAGGGCAGGACAGCTGGATGCCGCTTTTCGGGGCTCATGCCAACCAAAGTGCCTCCCAAGCAGAGGCCTGTCACAGCACCCTGAACGTTGAACGTGAGACACCGGGGTCGCTGCTGACTGTTTATTCCCGTTTCAGGTCATGGATTGAAGCCGAGAGGGCCTGTGCTGATGAGGGTCTGCAGCTGGCCACCCCTCGCACCAAAGAAGACATCAAGGTCGGGCCTTGGGAATGTGAAGCCTCGAAGAGCCACATTAGCCCAACCAAGCAGTCTCCACGTCTCTCCGCACTCGAGAAAAGCTTTGCATGAGCGAGGCGCTCAACGCCGCCATGAAACTACGTGGGGCGGAGAAGGTTCGCCAGAATTCCCGAAAGATGGACAAAACATGTCTTGAACATGTCTTGAATGCTCAAATTGTTCTGGGCCCAATTCGGCCCGATCTAAACTATTCCCCCCCCAAAACGGTTCGCAATCTGGAGGTCCAGATCGGCCTCCGCCGTGACGTGCAGTATGGCGAGGAGACGGGGTCGGTGGTTAATTGAATGGAAGTATAGTAGTGAGTCCAGAGAACCTCTTAGGACTTGTGTAAGCTGTGGGGCCTGGTCATGATCGCCCACGCAGGTGGTTTTTCTAGTTTAGGGCTGCTTCAGGCTTGATTTTGCGGAGTGACGAGTGTGGAAGAGTGAGTTTGTGCGCTGAGTGTGATTGTGTTGGCACGGTGTTGGTAACGAGCGCTCCCGTCGCGGCAATCCCTGGAATGCCCTGCTGCCCCTGACATGTGCGGAGTCACTCCCCGGATCCTCAGGGCTACTGGACGGATGCCAAAGCATTCTATTGGGTGGATGGCGAAAAGCTTGACGCAGGGCACAAACTATGCAGACATGCAGACTTGTGTGTCCTGTCGGATCCTGCATGTTGAGGGGCGCCTCCGCTTGGGATGAGCCCCCTTTGCGTTCTCAGGATAGCGACTGGCCCGGCTGGGGCGGTTACGGCTTTACTGCCGACTCCCTGGAGGCGCATTCGGGGCCCACATTGACATGAGGAGAGAAGGGTTCAGCGTAGCTTAATGCCAATTGATCCAGAGCAGGCACCAGATCTCCTTGCTTTTGACATGAGGACATGGGGCCCACACTCGCCTGCATGTGACAGGTGCCTGAGAAGCAGCCGCACTGGGTTCCATTTCTGGAAGGCTCGCGACTTGGGGCATGGGAAATCGGGGAGTTGGAGTTGGTGGAATGGTCTTTATTGGGTACAAGGTATTGTCAAAAGCTTTGAAAGCTGGTGGTCTGGCAAGGCTGGCAACTGTGATGTTGATGTCCTACAGTCTCGAGGCAGCGGGGAAAAGTGACACCGTGATGCTTACCAGGATGCTGCTACATTGGCTACTTTCAGACTTTGGATGAGGACGGGACGAAGGGGGCAGCGGACGCTCGTCAGAAGTGTGCTGCTACCACGACGGACCATGCTTTGGCAGATCTCAGAAGCTGTTGTAAGGATACGACCTGCGACCATTTCCGAATTCCGTTCGCGTGCCAGCCCATTGAGGACCGATGCGGCAAGTCTTTGCTTGTCAGAGTCAGGGGTGCTGAGCTTCAATGGTGCGGGGTGTGCACCCTGTTGTCTTCGAGGGATTTTCAAGGCGTCATGCTGGGACACCTCCAAGAAGCGCTGACAGCAGGATGACATCATGGATCCACGCCTCCAGAAATTCCAGATCTTCCTCGCGTAAAGTGTCGGAACACTCTCTCAGTGAGCACCTGTCTGTCGAGCTGTCACAAACGAGAAGCCAAAGACTCTGAGTCCAGGGTCCGTGTAGCCAGCGCAAGCTCCTGGAAGAACGTAGCTACAGGCACTAAGCCAGGGCTCTGACGGCTAGGAGCGACAAGTGCGAGAAACTGCCACCATCTCAGATCTTGCGAGCCTTAACACATCACGTGTCAGCTTGCAGTGCTAGCTTGTATTCAGAGAAGCTCTGTAGCAGTTTGCAATTTTTGCAGCTGGTTGTGAGAGCGTGCTACGATCAGTCTCTAGGTCACCACTACTACTTCCACGGCAGCTCCGTTTCACTTTGGTTTGGCTCCTTGAATGCAACTGATTTCAAGTGATATCAGCTGCCAAGATCAAACGCAAGCGCCTCTTTAGTGCGTCGCTTATTTTGTTTTTTCTTGTGGTTCCTTTGCTTTATTTCTGCCTGTGCCTTTTTGCTTTCAGCTTTTGCTCGTCTCTTGTTTTGGCTTTTTGCTCTTGTTGCTCTTTGCTTTAGGTTTTCCGTCCGAGTTTGTTCGTTTTTTCGCTGTTTTGTTGTTTTTTGCGTTTTGCTTGTTGCTTTGGCTTTTCCTTTCCGATCTCTGCTCTCCGTTTTTTGTTTTTGTAGTCTCTTGATGTTGCTCTTGCTTTCATTTTTTGCTTCTGGTCGGTGTGCTTTTGACTTTAGCTTTTCGCTTGTTGCCTTGCTATCCGCGCTCTGGTCTCACCTTACTCCTCTGCTTCTCCCCTTTTGCGCTTGTAGTCTCTCTCATGCCCGCTTCCGCTTTTCTGATTTTCCGCTTCTTGGATTTCCAGTTCCGCGTCCCTGCTTGTCCTCGCGATGCTTTCAGGCTATCCGCATGTCTTGGTCTGCTTGCACAGGCTGTACGTACCATCTGGACTAAATACCGCCCCCTGCCCCCCCCCGCCCCCACTCCCCCCCCCCCTCGCTGTTTCATGGCGTGCAGGCATGTGCTTGCAAAATCCCCCCCCTCCCCCCCCCCCCCCCCCCCCCCCCCCCCCCCCCCCCCCCCCCCCCCCCCCCCCCCCCCCCCCCCCCCCCCCTCCCCCCCGGCCCGGTTTTTGCAGGCCGGTAAGTCTCCGTCGCTGTCTCACGACTCAGAACGCGAAGCACGATTCGAACATCTTTTGGTATTTCCAGGCCCTGAAATGCTCACGGCGCCTAAACCAGAATGTCACGGGCACGCGGCAACACCGGGAGGGTCGATCGCAAGTGGCAACACTCACGGAGCCTAGGCGACAGCGTCCGAACCCACAAACTTAGAGGATCCTTGATTTTCATAGTGTGCACAAGACAAGAAAAACAATTATACCATAAATTGCAACAAATTCCCAAATTAATTCCGGACCCAGAGCAAGCACAAGCCAAGCGGCATAACTATGCTTGAGTCGTTCATTCCTACACCCACGATGTATGACTGTCGTGCCATTTGCAGAGCTGCTTGGAACTTCAGGACAGCCTTCCCACGATTTTTTGCGATTGTTTTCTTGGTAGGCATTTTAGCTGCGCAGTACCGTTAGCACCTTTTATTTTTTTGGGCTGGGTTCCCAGGCCCTCTCTGGCTCCAACCAGTGTCCCGATGGCTTGGGGGTGTCGGCGGTGCCACTGTCTCGCTGCCAGGTTGGGCAACCATGCTGAGTGTTTCTTGCACTGCTTTGCAAGTTCACCGCAGGTAACATCGAGTGGAGCGGACTGGCAATTCACAACAGCACAAACATATCAACGACTGAACGATACACGCGAGGGCAGGAAGGGGAGAGTAGCCAAATGACAACAGCTGCAGAGACCCCAACGGGAAGGCCTTTCCCCACCCAAGCCTAGCCAGACAAGCTGGGCCAGGTTTGAGGGTGTTGAGCCTGGCAGGCTGCAGCTCTTGCCGTTGCGATTGTGAACTTCTCAACTCAGGGAATCTGAACATGTCCTTTATGTTCCTGAAACCAGGCATGTCAGAAGCAATCCAGCATAAACCAGCATGTGCATTCCAACTATCAGCAGATCTTATCTCCCCGCAGCCGCAGGAGGCAGCTTTGAAGGCGGTCCTTCCACCAGGTCCCGCCATGTGGGTCTCGGGAGTTCATTCTTTGCCCGGTCGACATCGTTGAATGATGTTGAATGCCAAAGCTAGTAGTTTCACAGCATACAAGGCAAACCTTGATGTCCAAACGACGCAAGAGTAACGTGAACAAGCATCTTCCCACACCGCATCAGCTCAGAATCTTTGCTCAATAATACGAAAACCCCAAAGGCCTGTCTTTTGAACACCCTGAGCTGGACAGATCTTGACTGTGTCACCTTTTTTCTTTTTTTTTGGGGGGTGGGGGGGGGGGGGGGGCGGGGGGGGGGCGGGGGGGGGGGGCGGGGGGCGGGGGGGGGGGGGGGGGGGGGGGCCGGGGGGGAGGGGGGGGGAGGGGGCGGGGGCGGGGGGGTGGGGGGACACAGACGCTGTGTTTTCTCGCTTTGAGGCGCCAAGAGAGGCCGGACAGCGATGCAAGCCGGATACGACGTTGGCTCCAAGGAACTGAGGGCTTAAGCATTTTCAAGTTTCAGGCTGGTTTCCTCGGATCACTTCACCTACTTTTGGGTGAGGCTACTCAGTGTACTCAGGGGAACTGTACTCGCGCATCCCAACGACGAAAGCAATGCGTTTCTTCGTTCACTTCCTTCTCTCCTCTGGAGTACAGCATGTCGAACCTCGCACCGCGTAGGAGGTGTGTATCAAAGCCGTGGCATTCTTAGGGTGTCGAGAGCGCATCGCAAGCTGTCTTGGAGTGGCAGGATCCCGCGCAACCTTGGTGCCTGGGCTGAGAGAGCGCCCACTCAGAATATCCCAGAATCATTCAAAAGAGAGATTTGGCGGTTTGCTTGGTCCAGTGATAGTTTGTCTGAGTTTGTGTGGACAAACTTGGCAAAGCCCAAGACAGATCACAGGCTGGGAGCTCCCACTGGCTGCTCCATGCACTCGGGCGGGGACTGGGCGCCAGTGTCTTGACTTTGCTGTCATTATCAGGACGTTCAGGGTTGCTTCGTGGATTCTGGCGGTTGGCTTCACAACAAGGGCTCTGTGCCCGGAGTCGCTCGTTGTGCATGTTGTGCCTTGCGGCAAGCTACTGCTGCGCCATCACGGCGGACAGCAGGAGCTGCAGGTAGAAGGAGTGTGTGTCCGCCAAGGTCTTCAACATGGGCCGAGGCCCTGGGCGGGTTTGGAGAGGTCATCTGGGTTCTGAGATGTTCTGAGATGTTCTGAGAAGGCTTTCAGAAGTTCAGCCTTGTGGTGCAGAAAAAAGACCCTTTCGGAAGTGTCTCAGGTGTTCTCAAGCTGTCAAAAAGCAAGCCTTCTTGCTGCGAGGGGGAGCAGATTGATAGGCAGTTGACATCAGTCGTAGCCCTTCTTAAGCCGTGTCACCCCTTGAGCAGGCGCCAAAAAACCCGAAACCCTGGCCGTCGCATGTTGTGAAGAGACATTGACACTCGCACAGATGTCCTTAAAAATAGATGACGTTTGATTGCTGGCAGGCGTCAACAATGGTGCCTCAGCGATTACTGGGTTCGAACGTGGGCACACCATGCTTGGGCTGGTATGCCTCGGCCCAGTATTGAACTGTTTCTTGGTCCCCGACGTCTCAAAGCCGAGGTGAGTATACTCCGCTGTGTGAGCAGCCGATGCCGAATGAGACCTACATCGCCCAAGGCATAGAGGTTGTGTCTGGGCATAAGGAGCCACGTGGGAGTTGTGAGTGCTGTAGATTGACCTGCATGACAGCACCTTGGCTTTGCTCAGGTTGAGACTGCCTTTCCATATGATCGCTCCGGGAAGTACTTCTACTTCCCAGCGCAGGACCTGCTTGCAGCTGCGGGTTTTGAGGAGCTTCTGTGTAGGAGAATCGCGCCTCCGTTGCAAATGAGTGCAGGAGTGGGAGGAGAAGACAGGGCGAGATCTGTCACCCCATGGCACGACACAATCCATCAGCTTCTCAGCAAGTTCAGGTCCGAAGTTTGCAGTCTTGGCAGTTTCGCATTCATGTGACGTTTGCAGTATAATGCTTTCTGTATGGGTTTGAGCAGCAAAGCTGTGCATCATGGATGTCGAATGACTACTTTTTCTTGTCCTTCACGAGGGCCGACTGCGATTCTGAAGTTGCTTTTCAGGGCAAATGCGTGAAACGGAGATGCTGCTGTGACACTTCTTCAGCCTTGCCTCCAGTAGACAATCACGGGCTTGTGACTGGAGCAGCTTGCAGAGGCACAGTTGCCCGTGCACCCTCTACTGCCCCTCTTAAAGTCTTAGAGGGATTCTAAGGAAGCTCAGTCTCCCTCCGAGGCCAGTTTCGGAACATGTTCCCAGTCTGGTCGGGCATTGTGAGGGTGCCTCATGCTGCACTGGGCAAGCATCGCCAAATGTCACACAGCTCAGAACCATCCCAGACCCGTCAAAATCTTTTCCAGTCTCCTCATCCTGCGGATTGGACTCCGCCGAGGTCTGGAAGAACATGCTGGGTGTTCATGGCCGTCGCGAGTTCGGCGCCAAGCCAGATCAGTGGCATCGCGGAGCCGCTGGACAGGATTAAAGCATATTACAGATTATTACAGCATAGAGCAGTCTGCGTATTCTGAGTGTTATCTGCGTAATTCTGAGAGATGCTCTAAAGGAGTGCCGTGGCCCACGTCTCCAAATCAAACTCCAAACCTCAACCGAAAGTCCCCGACCTCCGCGAACCCTCAAACCTCAATCCCAAGCCCCAGACCCCATGTGCAAAACTAAGCACCTGCTTCAAATTTTCGTTTTCGGCCCAAAGCAGCAGGCAGCTAGATTGATGTACTTTATCGTAGATACCCCACCCGTTCCTTTTTTTCCATTGAACTGATTCCATTGAACTGATAGTTTTGCTTAGGTTTTCGCGAGTTTTTCTGTACGTTAAAACCAGGGTCTAAAACTATTTCCTGGATATGCAAGAACCAATAGTTTTTGCGTGAAAGAGGCGCCGCGCTTTCGGAATGCTGGGTTTGCTGTTTTGACACGCCTGCCAGGCTTTCGTGCAAAACTCGCATTTTCAGGAACCCCCCCCTTAATGTGTGTGTGTGTGTGTGTGTTGTTTTTTTGTTTTCTCTGTCTTCCCTGAACTCTAAACCCCGCAACAGAAGCCCCGAAAACCTAAGCCAACTAGATCCTGTTGGTGTCGGGGTTTGGGGTGCAGAGATTTCAGGAATGTCGGGCCTTCGCCTTTGGGGCATTGGGATTTTTGGTTTTGGAAGTTGGGGGGCCAGGAAGGTATTTTCCACCCCCCCCCCACCCCTCTCCCCCCCCTCCCCCCCTCACTCCCCCACCCCAAGAAAAACGTGGGAGAAGGCTCCTGTCGGCTAAGATATGTTCCGCGAAGGACACCGCGAAAGGAACAAAAGTCGACCAAAAAAGCTTCCACGAAACCAACTCGGGACGCGGGACTCCTCATCAACCCTCAGGTATGTCGGTCTGTATCTGCACCTGCGCCTCGAGAAACACATTGATGTACTGATCGGGCAGGGCCAATGCTTTGCGAGGTTTGTGGCCGCCAGGGTGTTGTTACACAACAGTTATCCGCGGCCCGAAAGGTGGACAAATTTAGGAATCTAGACAGGCTTCCAGGCCGCCACTGCTGCTGCCGCTGTTGTTTGAAATTGTCAGCTCTTGCGCTTAGCTGAGCATGGGTTGGCAATCTGTAGGAACTAGCTCAGTCACATGTAGGACATGCGAAAAATTGGTTGCGTGAGTGCTTTGCGTGGACCGTTTTGGTTCCGCAAATTGTCTGCCTGTCCGAGCGCGTAGTTTCCCCGTTGATTGCAGAGTTCGCGACGTTCCGTGCCATCGTACCTTTTTCGTCCTTTCGGGCTTTGCCCAACAAAACAATTTCGAGTCTTCGGATCTTCGAAGCTGGATGTCGAACGTTTGCTCCTAAGGATATCATCAAGGTTGGCATTATGTGCCCTCCTGGCAGCTTGGCCCAACTTGGCTGAAACAAGAAGTTCTGGGAGCTACCCCGCCTTCTCATTTCTTCACATAGCCCATCGTGCTGTGAGCACCCAGGATTCTCATTGATTCCCCATGATCTGGATGGTCCAGATGCCATGCATTTTGAGACGACTTCGCTTCAAGGTGGGTTTCTGTGAATAACAGTTTTGTATTCTGCTGATCGGACAAAATGACATGCACACATTCTGCACATCGGGGGGACTCGCAGCAGCAGGCGGTTTCAGGTGTTGCACTACGTCTGAACTTGATTGACGTGAGAGGGTGCTGGCCTTCTGGAAGCATTCAAAATCGACTCGCACCCACAAAGGACTTACTTGCGTTCTCTGGTACACTTAATGTGAAGGACACTCGCTTCATGAGCATGCCACAATCAGCTTAGGGTCAGCGGCCGGCTGCAGTTGCATTGGAGAAGCCATCCTTATACATTTCTTTCAGTACCTCGAACACTTGTAGCAGATGCCACAATGCCCCAACCATCTCCCCCACCCATCCTAACCCTTAAGCCTGGAGTGACGGGAGGCTGCGCGGAGAAGTGCCAGGAGCAGGTGAAGTGTACTTCTTTCGAGTTCTCCCACTCGGAGACGAGGGCTGAAACTGCATTTGGGATTGTAGATGAAATTCGAGGGATCCTAAGTTCATGTTGGGCGCTCGTGAATGGGGCCACTGCCTTGAAAAGGAGCCTGGTTTACAGTTTACAGTCGCAGGCTTGGAAAAGCAAGCCCTCAAACAGGAGCCTATGATCCATGAACATTGGCGCATATATCTGATCAACGTGGAACAGCATGTGCCGACCTGAACTCCACACAACCCCATTCCACAAACGCTTTGAACAGGAGACCCCGAAAAACTGCGGCCAGATCCTGAATAATTTGGCCAAAAATCTTATCTTCATAGGGGACACACCTGCAAAGAAGGGTCCAGCATGATTTTGCCCGCCTGGCACAAATCCATCGCCCATCGTTGAAGGAGGCGCTTTGCAGCACTTTCTCCCTGGGCCTGGAGAATCTGCGGACGTTCAGTGGCCGCCCAAATGAGTGGATCTCCTGCCTCTGGGCCAAACTGTTGGAAGGTAGGGATTCGAGCGTGGAGTTGTCAAAACATGATCCTGTACAACTCAAAGTCGGCGACAGCAAGTCGCAAAGCAAATCGCTCCTCATCAATGCTCCATAACTCACCAGGGCTCTAAGCGCACATCCTGGCTTGAGGCACACGGGCGGACCTCATGGGTGCAGAGGCGCACATTTACGGTTGATGTGCGCCGCAGAGCAAGTGCAAGCTAAGTGCAAGTGGCTCTAATCATGAAGGTTACTGAGGGTTGCAAAAAGAGGCCGACGTGACCCTGGATGCCTTGAAGCCGACTACGACAGTCACCACAGATACCCAGCTGCGTTTTACACCGTCAGTTTTTGAGGGGGTCTGCTGCTGCAATTGTTTGCCGAAGGAAGCTTCTGATTGCAGTCCAGCAAAGTCAGTCCACTAACCTCTCCTAGCTCTTGGTAGAGTTTCTAAGGATCCATTCGCATGGAAGACGTCCAAGGGTTCCTGCATCTCTGCGGGCAAGGGAAAGATCAGCTCAGGCTCAATGAGTGGATGCACAAATAGAAGCTCGTCTGGGGGGGGGAGGGTTGTTTGGGTTTCTTTACAGCGACCTGAGTCAAGCCTCCCGACGCAGGCGTGGTGAACGTGGGCAACATGTCCTCAAAGGATTGCCACGAAGCTTGCAGACCCTGAGCTGAATTTGTCTGTGCTCCTAATACTGTACTGAGACAAAAAAATCACATGCTAGTACGGTACTAGTTACTCTCTTGAACCTTGACTGCTTTGGTTTTGACAGCACTCGAGGAAACCAGCTCCGATGCACTGCCTTTCAAATGGCTTTCACTGAACCTGGAGTCGGCATCTGCCACCCGCAGCAAGAAATTGTGTGAATCGTCCACTGCCATGTCCATTGCCTTGGCATTTGGGCCTGTTGTGTGGGTGTGTGTGTGTGTTCTTTTTTGGGGACCGCGTCCGAGGCTCTCTTCATACGTCTGTCTTGGTGGCTTGGCGCGGGTTGCTGTGGTCTCTCAGCACTTGCTGTACCAATTTTTTCCCTGCCAGTATCTTGTTTTTGTGCAGTTTGAGAGATTTGGCATGATGTGACATATTGGGGGCCAAGCCAAGGTTGGTTCTGCTAAGCCTCATGTTCATGAACTTAGCCTTAACATCTCGCTGTTGGCCTTCTCCGTAGCCCCTGTTTTGCAGCCTGTACTTGAGCAGCTTGTTTGAAGCGGAAGGTCACAGGAGGCTCTGGCCTGGATGGTGGTCTCTGCAGCGTGAAGCCCACGCTGGTGAGCTGTGGGGAGATGCTTGGCTCCAGCTCTTTTAGGCAGTGTTCCTTCGATTTTCTCTCCTAGTCCCGCAGCCTTGAACGTTCAGAGTGGTTTGGTTGCAAAAACTCAGGTACAACAGCGAAGACTGTGCAGAAAGCTACGCCGTGGCGGACTACCACAAGTCCATGCTGGGCTTCTGTCAGACCCTGGCCTCCGCGGGAGTCACCATGGTTTCCGGTGTGTCGAGAGTCGAGAGTGCATGTTTCGGCAGAGCCTCGATGGATGCGTGGTGTGGCCTCGTGAGTCTCAGCCCAGGAAGTGCGTCACCAGCGAGGGAGATTCCTTACTTCGTGACAGGCTTGCGTCCACTTCGGTTGCACTTTTCCGACTTTCTATGTCTCCAAGAGTCGCTCAACTTTACGGGCACTTGGGGGCATTTTCGACGCATGTTCAAGATGGAGCATAGTGAGAGTGTTGTACCGCATCAAAACGAGACAAGACTCGCGATTCGCGAGCAGGTGCCAGCTCTGCTGCGAGAAGTGCCCTTTCAGCCAGGATACCAGCATCCCAGGCGGCACACCCAGCAGGGTAGAACGAGAATCCACACTGTGAAGTCTTGGCGCTCACTGCTGCGTCTCTGCGGAGGCCCACTTCTCGGTGAGGGCAAGACGGGTCTCGTCTGCACCTTGTCTTAGATTTGTCATTCTTTGACAAGAACCTGAGCTTCCAGCCCAAGCTCAAAAGCCTGTAACAATCTCCAATGCCAAGGTGAGCCCAACACTTTCGACCTGGACGACAATGTCTCCAATGGCTGTGAGGCGCCAGCGATCGTCCTCAGTGCCTAAAGAAGGGCTAGAGTGGTTGGAGTATGCACCCAAGCAGAGGGAGAGAGGTCTGGACGAGAGTACGTAGTACTAGTAGCTTCGTAGGATGCGGGGCAGTTCATATCAGTGGCTGAAAATGCCCCCCCCCTCCATCTTCATGCCGGATATTCGCCGTGGTGGCCGCCCTTGCTGGCAAAGTTACCGTGTGCTGACTCCGTGCGGCATCAACTCGAATGCCAGGCAGGCTGTCCGGCCGTCTTCGGGGCCAAGTGTGGGGACCTCAAGCTCCATTGTAGTCATTGCTAGAGTATTGCAGAGCATTGCAGAGCGATAGAGGTATGAGAACATATGAGAGCATACCTGATATGATCTGAGGCGTGGAGTGCCCGACCCCGACAAACTGCTCGGAGATATCATGCAAAGAGAACTATTATGACGAGGATGGAGCCTTACCAGCAACCTCAGAGATTGAAGGTTCTTGTATAGTCACTTCTCCAATCCGGGAGACCTCTCGAGGAGATGTGGCCACTTGTGATGATGAAGCAGTTGCCAGACGACTAGTGAGTCACGGCTAGCTGCCTAGCTGTTCACATTAAGGAAACATGAGCAACGGCTGCGAAATCCTCTGTCCGAGTGTCAACAACGCTGTCTGCAAGCGATGCCAAGATGGCCCCCAAGCTGCATGGTGTGGAATGATCTGGAAGTTGTGATCCTCCTGCGCCTTTTGCAACACATTGCAACACCAGCCACACAAAAGTGAATGTTGCATCAGCTCCAAGGTGAGCAGCCCCTTGAAGTCCAACCACACTTGCACTTATCCCTGAAATCCTCTCTTGCTGTACTTTGAAAGGGTTTGTCATTTCGCCCCTACTGAAGTAGCTTTCTGGCTACAAGATGATGCAAGTATAGACTGAACTTCCTACCGCAGGAGACTGAACAAATTCTCTCAATGGGCTTTCCAGGCACTACAGCGGCATTTCGGTTATGGCTTGAGGAAGGGGCACCAAACAAAAGCGGCCAGGGTTCGCATGGTTCCACTATGAAAGCCTCGCAGGGAGAGGAGCAGGCCGGGCAAGGCTCACCATACTTCGCCACACCAGCGCGGCGAAAAACATTGCCATTCTTCAACTTCTCACAGGACCCACATCTAGACTGGTCGCTTTCAGGTCCAGCCTAGGTATCATAGCTCCGATGCATCTGCCGCCGAGCATTCCTGAATCACGCTGTTGCCAAACACTCAAGCATTCTGATTTGTCCGGCATGCTTCTGACTTGAACAGGCCAAGACCTAGTAATTTTCGGGACGCACTGTATCAGTTGGTGGACAGCTCAAGGCATTTGCACTGCTTTCGATTGCAAGCCTGGCTACTTCGATGGTGACTTCAACGTGCGAAATGGCTGCGAGGCACCGTGCCCACAGGCTCCGCAGCAGATTTGCGTGGGGAAGTGCAGGGTCGTGCCGCCGGGGTCAGTTTGTGGTCGCCAAAAGGTTAACGCTTGCTCGTACCTTTTGTTCTGTCAGCAACCCCACTTGCCTCAAGCTTGTTTGAACAACTACTCTGCACGCTTCGGCACGGGTTTCTGTGAACTACAATGATGACTTCGGCAGATCGTTCCAACTAGCTGCAGCTGTCCCACTGTCCCACCAATGTCGTTCAAGGAAAGCAGCTCTCTAACCCCTCAACGTGTTGAAGTTCCAGCCCGGCTCAGCCAGCTTGTTTTCTTGATGTGCCCAACCGTCAGGTGCCCTTTGCAGACTGCGTTCTTTGCCAGGGCCCCTGGGTCTGCAAGGCCAGTCCCTGGCTTCGGATTGCTGGGTTAAGCCGACTTTGTCCAGTTTTTTCAAAGGCCTGAGACCCGGCCCCTCCAGCGCTGCTCCGACCTGACCGGGCAGGACTATAAATGCCACCCGAACAGATTCGAGGTGGACCAAAACTATTCCAATGGTTGTGCGACTTGGATGCAAGGTGTGACCAGGCCAAGCCTGCTTGTTTAAGGAGTAGCTAGAAACTTGCTAGGCCTACTAGTATGCGTAATTAGTACTAGATGCAAGGCACAGGGCAGTGGCGCCAGGTCGAAGGTGCACACAGGGTTTGTGTCGAAGGTGCACGTGGGGCGCCAGACACCCCCGCCTTCGGCGGGGCCTTGGCTGGGGGCTGGGGAAACTGTGAAAGGGACAGTGAATCCCGAAAGGTCAGGCAAACACTTAACCAAACAAGTCACATTGGGTGGCGAACCCAAAAAGGTCACGTTGGGTGGCAAACCGCAAGCCCAAAAGTTAAAGCTGGGCGGCAAGCCCTGAACGTGACAAGGTCCTACAAGGCCAAGGCCCTGTGAATCCCAAAAAAGCTGTTGGGTGGCAAACCCTGGACCGGTTAGATTGGGTGGTATAAGGCCAAAACCCTACAAGCCCATGTTGGGTGGCAAGCCCTGAACCTCAAAAGGGCATGCCTCAACCCGATGCACCAAGCCCAAGAAAAGCCCTAAAATGTCGTATTGGGTGGCAAGCCCTAGACCCTCAAAGGTCATACCGGAAACTCTAAAACATCATGTTGGGTGGCAAACCCTACTGTATATTTAGGCCCTAAAGGTCATGTTGAGCCGGAAAAAGTCTCCACCCTTTTCGAGGCTTCCGCAGGCCTTGAAAGCATTGGCGTGTGCGTACTAAAAGGGACCCAGTGTGCGGCCTCAACGCGCCCGAGTACTGTGCACTGTGGACGCGCGGGCGCGTGTGCCTTGAACTGCCCTACCCAGGGCAGCAAGGGACAACAATTCTGTGCGTGGAACGCCATTCTTGTTAGATTTTTCAGATGCTCTTCAGAGGATTCAGATTCGGCAGACCGTGGAAGTCACAAGTTGCAGCGATTTGCAGCTCAGGAAGCGACATGCCCATCCCGGCCGCATGCTTCCTGCACGGAGTGCCACAATCCGTTCAAGTGCGCGGTGGCGCTGACTTGTGACAAGGCGCAATTGCTACCATCTTGTTGCGAGCGGTATCGGGGATTTCTTCTGACGTCTGAAGCTTAGCAGATTGCTTTGGTTTGGGTCCGTGCTCTACGAGACGCAAAAAAAGGAACAGAAGCCCTGCCAGATCTTGTTACAGGGCAAGCAGCGGCATGTGCCGGCAGATTCCAACCCTCTGCCTCTGCTTGAGAAACTGGTGCAGGACTGGTACGACGCAGATGCGGTTGAAGACAACGGTTGTGAAGTGTGCGGACCTCAGCCAGCAGGTTGGATCTGGGGTTGGGCGTTTGAGGTGTTTGCAAACGTTTGCAAAAGTTGGCAGTCTCAATTGTTGTACCAAATTGTTACCAGGGGCTAAGAAAACATCTGGGAACCTGAGCTTCTTCTTTTCAGCCATGTGCCGTTTGAAGTTTGTTTGCCGCGTTGGCCGCGAACAAACCTGAGCTGAGAACCTGAGAAGTACGTGAACTTTAGCTTTTGAGCTGTTGCTCAGGCTGTGTCCGAGTGTCAAGCGGGGTACTTGCATCGCCTGCAGCATCCCGGCCCACTTCATTGGTTGGTGAAGTATTGCCAGATAATTGCCAGACGAAGCAAGCGGAGCTGATGTCCGTTCGGTACATCTCAATGTGCATCCTTCACGATTGTGGTAGACATGGATTGAGACCATCCTCAGGTTCCCGAAAGATCTACCCAGTATCTACCCTAATCCAGGTGGTCAGCCTTTGGAGTGCTTCGACATCCTCTGTGATGGCAGCTGGTTCGATGTGGATGGCAAGATCGAGCCGCCAGGGCTCAATGCAGTGCGCCGATCTGTAGGGTTTAGAAAGCCTACTAAGTACGCTTCACAATGCTTGCAGCTTGGCACTACGTTCATCTTTTTGTGAGAAAAGCAGCAAGCAGCATTGCAAAGCTATAGACTATAATAGACTATAGACTCCGCTCACGGCTTCTTGGATGTGATCTTTGAAGCCGGAAGATACACTTCCAGATTCGGAAGCTTCGGAAATTGTGCATCCTGCTGACGATGAACCGCCGTTTCAGATTCCTGAAACCTCTTCCTAAACAGCAATCTGCTGTCCCTAAATCCTCTCGTAGAGAGAGTTCCTGGAAAGGCTATGTATTCGCTTCATCTTCAGATCATGACCGTTTCCCACAGTTTCCGAGCAGGTCTTCTCTAAAGGTGTTTAATCGGCCCAGCCCAACGATCGCTCAAGGACAGGCTGCGAGGTCACTTGCCCTTCGATTGCGCACGGAGGCTTGGCAGGCAGGTGCTTGCCTCCTTTTCGTGTTGCCGGGCGTTTGGGGCGGAGGTTCAGTACGAATATTTGGGTCAGTAAGCTTTCTCTCAGTGTCAGTTTGGTCCGCTCAAGCATCTCAGGAAACTGCACCAGCTGCAGCAGTCCAGAGAAGTGTACAACGGTCTCCTGCTTCTCGGAGCACATTCGGGTGCGGTGTACGGATTCAGTGTGGCCAGGGGGCTTTGTGGATTTGTGGGGACTCCGAAGAGCTGCTACGACGCTGCTACGACGCTGCTACGATCTTGAGATCGGTTCGGATGGGGAGAGCGCTTCCGCAGGTGACGTCAACCGCTTCGATTCGGATGGGAGCCCGGAGAACGGTTGCGAGGCACGGATGAACAATTGGGCCCAAAGAGTCAGTCCTGTCACCTTTCTCGACCTGCACTTGCAGGCGACCTGCCCAGCTGTGGCCAGGGCAACGTGCACCAATTGTGGCTTGTCAACATTGCAAGGAGGTGGGACGTGCGAATGTGTCTCGTGTCACACAGGACACGTTCCTGGAATGGATGCATGCCCTTCATGCCGAACGTAGAAGAATCAGGAATTAGGCGTAATCGAACTTGTTCTGGACGGGGCTTATTCTAATTATTTGTTTGGTTTCAAGGTCCCC